GCAGTCCATGGCCAGCTGCTCCAAGGCGGGAGCATCATGGTGGACGGTGTGGGGAGGAGAGACGCTCCCATCATGGTGGCCGGGAAGCAGAGAGAGAAGGGAGGAGCCAGGGACCAGAACACAGCTTAAAGAGGGGAGCTGAGTGTGGCTCAGGGGTGCAGAGGGTGCAATCCATGGCCAGCTGCTCCAAGGCGGGAGCATCATGCTGGATGGTGTGGGGAGGAGAGACGATCCCATCATGGTGGCCGGGAAGCAGAGAGAGAAGGGAGGAGCCGGGGACCAGAACACAGCTTAAAGAGGGGAGTTCAGTGTGGCTCAGGGGTGCAGAGGGTGCAGTCCATGGCCAACTGCTCCAAGGCGGGAGCATCATGGTGGACAATGTGGGGAGGAGAGACGCTCACATCATGGTGGCCAGGAAGCAGAGAGAGAAGGGAGGAGCTGGGGACCAGAACACAGCTTAAAGAGGGAGCTCAGTGTGGCTCAGGGGTGCAGAGGGTGCTGTCCATGGCCGGCTGCTCCAAGGCGGGAGCATCATGGTGGACGGTGTGGGGAGGAGAGACGCTCCCATCATGGTGGCCGGGAAGCAGGGAGAGAAGGGAGGAGCCGGGGACCAGAACACAGCTTAAAGAGGGAGCTCAGTGTGGCTCAGGGGTGCAGAGGGTGCAGTCCATGGCTGGCTGCTCCAAGGCGGGAGCATCATGGTGGATGGTGTGGGGAGGAGAGACGCTCCCATCATGGTGGCCGGGAAGCAGAGAGAGAAGGGAGGAGCTGGGGACCAGAACACAGCTTAAAGAGGGGAGCTGAGTGTGGCTCAGGGGTGCAGAGGGTGCAATCCATGGCCAGCTGCTCCAAGGCGGGAGCATCATGCTGGATGGTGTGGGGAGGAGAGACTTTTCCATCATGGTGGCCGGGAAACAGAGAGAGAAGGGAGGAGCCGGGGACCAGAACACATCTTAAAGAGGGGAGTTCAGTGTGGCTCAGGGGTGCAAAGGGTGCAGTCCATGGCCAACTGCTCCAAGGCTGGAGCATCATGCTGGATGGTGTGGGGAGGAGAGACGATCTCATCATGGTGGCCGGGAAGCAGAGAGAGAAGGGAGGAGCCAGGGACCAGAACACAGCTTAAAGAGGGGAGCTGAGTGTGGCTCAGGGGTGCAGAGGGTGCAATCCATGGCCAGCTGCTCCAAGGCGGGAGCATCATGCTGGGTGGTGTGGGGAGGAGAGACGATCCCATCATGGTGGCCCGGAAGCAGAGAGAGAAGGGAGGAGCCAGGGACCAGAACACAGCTTAAAGAGGGGAGCTGAGTGTGGCTCAGGGGTGCAATCCATGGCCAGCTGCTCCAAGGCGGGAGCATCATGCTGCATGGTGTGGGGAGGAGAGACGATCCCATCATGGTGGCCGGGAAGCAGAGAGAGAAGGGAGGAGCTGGGGACCAGAACACAGCTTAAAAAGGGAGCTCAGTGTGGCTCAGGGGTGCAGAGCGTGCAGTCCATGGCCAGCTGCTCAAAGGTGGGAGCATCATGGTGGACGGTGTGGGGAGGAGAGACGCTCCCATCATGCTGGCCGGGAAGCAGAGAGAAAAGGGAGGATCAGGGGACTAGAACACAGCTTAAAGAGGGAGCTCAGTGTGGCTCAGGGGTGCAGAGTGTGCAGTCCATACCAGCTGCTCCAAGGCGGAAGGATCATGGTGGACGGTGTGGGGAGGAGAGACGCTCCCATCACGGTGGCCGGGAAGCAGAGAGAGAAGGGAGGAGCAGGGGACTAGAACACAGCTTAAAGGGGGAGCTCAGTGTGGCTCAGGGGTGCAGAGTGTGCAGTCCATACCAGCTGCTCCAAGGCAGAAGATCATGGTGGACGGTGTGGGGAGGAGAGACGCTCCCATCACGGTGGCCGGGAAGCAGAGAGAGAAGGGAGGAGCAGGGGACCAGAACACAGCTTAAAGGGGGGGAGCTAAGTGTGGCTCAGGGTTGCAGAAGGTGCAGTCCATGGCCAGTTGCTCCAAGGCGGGAGCATCATGGTGGACGGTGTGGGGAGGAGAGACGCTCACATCATGGTGGCCAGGAAGCAGAGAGAGAAGGGAGGAGCCAGGGACCAGAACACAGCTTAAAGAGGGAGCTCAGTGTGGCTCAGGGGTGCAGAGTGTGCAGTCCATTGCCGGCTGCTCCAAGGCAGGAGCATCATGGTGGACAATGTGGGGAGGAGAGACGCTCACATCATGGTGGCCAGGAAGCAGAGAGAGAAGGGAGGAGCCGGGGACCAGAACACAGCTTAAAGAGGGAGCTCAGTGTGGCTCAGGGGTGCAGAGGGTGCAGTCCATGGCCGTCTGCTCCAAGGCAGGAGCATCATGGTGGACGGTGTGGGGAGGAGGGTCGCTCACATCATGGTGGCCAGGAAGCAGAGAGAGAAGGGAGGAGCCGGGGACCAGAACACATCTTAAAGAGGGGAGCTCAGTGTGGCTCAGGGCTGCAGAGGGTGCAGTCCATGGCCGGCCGCTCCAAGGCGGGAGCATCATGGTGGACGGTGTGGGGAGGAGAGACGCTCCCATCATGGTGGCCGGGAAGCAGGGACAGAAGGGAGGAGCCGGGGACCAGAACACAGCTTAAAGAGGGAGCTCAGTGTGGCTCAGGGGTGCAGAGGGTGCAGTCCATGGCCGGCTGCTCCAAGGCAGGAGCATCATGGTGGACGGTGTGTGGAGGAGAGAGACTCACATCATGGGGGCCGAGAAGCACCTTTCGCCACACTGGGCTGTGTCCTGCTCCTGCTGTGATCCTCACCTTTGCCCCACATCGTGGAGGCAGTCAGGCCCGAAGGATCCCGAGCCCCGAATTCTTCCTCACAGCCACAGGTCCACCCTGAGAGCCCTGAACTGACCAAGGTGACGGTCTCCAGGGCTCTCCGATCTCGGCTTTTTCGAAGCCCAGACGGCAGCAAGGTGGTGGCGGCCACAGACCTGAGGTGCAGGATTCTTGATGACATGATGCTGTGGGACGGAGCAGAGGGCACTTGGGCCACAAGTGGCGTCCAGTACTGGCTGTACTGGGTGGACCTCCATGCTAGGCAACACGGGCGGCAGCTGGGGCGCAGGGGCCGGGTTCTGAGCTGACCTGTGATCATTTTGCAGGACAGGGGAGGCCAAGGGCGCCCAGGAGACAAACATCGTCACGGTTACCGGGGCCAGCGGCAATGTCAACGTCCGCTGTGCAGACCTGAGCATGAATGTGCAGCACATCGGTCAGCACGGCCTGGCCATATGCATTCACACATGGGGTCCCTCAGCGGGGTGCCAACAGGACCAGGAGTGGACATGGAGGCTCATGTACCGGGGACCAGTGGGGAACAGAGGAGGACATGGAGGAGGAGGAGGAGAGGAGGAAGAGGATATGGAGGTGGACGAGAAAGAGGAGGAGATGGAGGTGGAGGAGGCAGAGGACGAGGAGATGGAGGTGGAGGAGACCAAGGACGAGGAGATGGAGGTGGAGGAGACCAAGGACGAGGAGATGGAGGTGGAGGAGACCAAGGACGAGGAGATGGAGGTGGAGGAGACCAAGGACGAGGAGATGGAGGTGGAGGAGGCAGAGGATGAGGAGATGGAGGTGGAGGAGACTGAGGATGAGATGGAGGTGGAGGAGGCAGAGGATGAGGAGATGGAGGTGGAGGAGGTAGAGGACGAGGAGATGGAGGTGGAGGAAACCGAGGAGTAGATGGACATGGAGGACACCGAGGAAGAGGAAATGGACGTGGAGGAGAATGAAGAGGAGATGGAGGTGGAAGACGCAGAGGATGCGGAGATGCAGGTGTCATGATATGCAGATTCAGCCTGAAGGCAGCACCTGGAGGCCCAGATTCCTGCACGTGGTCCCCTGCTCATTCCGGAGACCCCCGGGAGAATCACTGGGGAACGAAGGTGGCCCCGTCGTCTTGCCTGAGGAAAGAGATCAAGCACAATGCCCGCCGTGTCTTCAAGTGCCCGCTTGGCTGCCACCAATGATGATCAGAAGAGACCATACAACTCAGCCCGGAGAACCCTGAGAGGCAGACTTTGAAGAATGGGCCCGGGTGAGGGGACATGAATGTCCTCGTGGAGGACGCCCGGGAGAGGACACACAGACCGAACCCAAGCAGCTGGCCTTGCTGCAGGCTGAAGACAAACCGAGCCTGAGTCTGATGCTCGGGGTCCAAGCAGCATCCCAGGGCAGGGCAGAGCTGCTGGCCCTGCTGACCCGGTCACCTGAAGGGGTCCCCGTCCACGTCCCAACTGCAGAGCTGACCCCTGGCCGGCGGAGTCCCCTCTGCGGCCAAAGCCTGCGGGCTCAGACCCGTCCTATCAGTTGGTCCGGCAGTGGCCACAGGACCTCGCTGCCCTCTCCGTCTGAGCAGACTGTCCTCTCCACGGAGGAGCCCCGGGTCCCCATGAGCATGGCGGGAAAATGAACCAGCCCAGTGTGGACACGGCACAAGCCTCTCTGTCCTGCTGTACAGCCCTGGCCTCCTCCTGTGGCCACGCCGCAGCGCACCGAGGCCCTGCGAGGAGGCCTTTCCCTACCTTGCACAGCCTTTGGGCTCTAACTGGGAGGGTTTTCTTTTCACACATTCATGTTTGATGATGCCGGAAAGTCCAGCTCCTCTCTCAGGAGGAGACATTTACCAGCTGTAAATACTGTGATGCATATGCACCAGGTCAGCTGTGCTGCCTCCTCTCGTGGAGACAGAAACCAACCCTGACGTGTGGGCATCTGAAGGTGGACACCGTCGGACAACAAATCCACAGGACCAAGCATCTCAGTTCACCCGGACCGTGCTGCCCAGGGCTAGAGATGGTAAGAAGCTGAACTCTGTGCCCACTTTCCCGGTTCTGCTGCTGATATCCCGGCAGCCACCAAACCATCAGAGAACAAACTGATGACATGGCAGATTCTAAAACCCCCGGACACTGTTCTTATACAAATGGATCCTAGTTCCTCTTGCTGGACATCTCTGTTAACCAAGCTCCTAATTCTCTTACCGATCGTACTCTTTGGCCCATCCGTGCTTAACCGTGGCGTGGGCAGAGCTGGAGCCGTGCACACACCCAAGCTGGCAATCCCCGGCCTCCATCGAGGGCTCTAGACAGGCTTTCTGCGGAAGTTCCTCCAACGGCCATTGAGAAACTGCCACCCTGTGCGGCCTGAAGCTGCTGGTTCCGTCTTCTGCGCCGTTTCCTGCACCCACGGCAGTTGGGGTTCCTTCTTCAGAGTGGGGGTTGCTGCAGGCAGCTGAGCCGGTTAGAAACGTTACAGGCAGGGAGAAGGGGCTGGTCCTCCATGGAGCCCCTGCAGACACCCTGCAGCTTAGGGGGACACAGACGCCTCCTGCTGGGGGCCAGGCCTCAAGACAGAGGATCAGACGATGCACCCATATCCTGGGGACAGGCACCCCAATAGTTTCCTTCCCCCTAGGGAAGTCACAGCTCTGTAGCAATGCTCGCTGTCTCGGGGACTCGCTTCCCCATTTGTCTGTGATGCAATGTTACAGAACCTCGGACCTTCCTGGCTCCCTGCAGTTCTGTGCCACCTTGTGCCCATCTGCCTTGTGAAGTCCTCCACCTCCCCGCCTTGAACCCTGGTTTGCTTCTGTAAAAGTACCTGGAAAATAAAGAGTCCTGGGCAACCTGCTCAGATCCTCTTCTGTGTCTCTCAGAAAGTTTCTCTCAGTAAACAGACCCTGCCCTTCACATCTGTGGTTCCTAAAATGAGTTCTTCGGTTTTAGACAACGCCGGCTCTCCTGGAAGCCAGCTAATGTGTCTGAGCAGAGCGGGGTCAGGGACCTAAGTAGGCCCGTCTGCGTGCTTGGGGCACATCCCGCACTCCTATTGAGCCGGAGGCACCCAGAGTGGAATAGACACACCCTGAGCATGTGCCTCTCCCTGTCAGCCCAGATACTAGAAAACATTTTCAAGATGTAGAAAGACTCCAAAGTTAAGCCCTCTCAGAGTTAATGGAGACAGACAGCCTAAGAGGTCAGCTTTTCGGTCCACCCAGGAGCGAGCTATTCAGTCCTACAGCAGCCGGGGATCCCTGGACCCAATCCCTTCCCCAAAGACTGAACCTCACACGGGACAATCTGAGGCCAGTTGTGGATCCTGGTGGTTTTGCTGAACCGGCCCAGCCACTGTGCACCCTACTGGAGGGATCCTTCTGGACTTCTGAGCTCCCCCAGACTTAGCCAAACCTTTCCTCTTGCACACAGCCAAGAGCTGTGGGATGGCAAGAGGGGTCTGAACCCGGGACCTAGGGCCTGGGAGACGCTGGCACCTACCTTTCCGGGAGATTAGACCCCGGCTGGGGGCGGCCACCCCACCGCAACACTCACCAGGGAAGCCACAAAGTGGATTTTGGGCCAGAGACTCCAGACAGCAGCCCGCATGCTGTGAAGACAACATGGTGGTCACCTCCTGACAAATGGCAATGTCCAGTACCTTTTACTTCCAAGGTGCAGAGCTGGGTGGGGCTGGGAGCTGTCCCAGAAGCCGGGCAGAGACCTGGGTGACTGGATGGAAATGTGTCATCAGGGCACAGTTCCCCAAATTCCCTTCCTCTTTCAGCCCCCTTGTTCCCGCCCACTGTGACAAGACAAAAACACAGATAACTCATTTTTAAAAAATTCTTTTTCCAGTGCTGGGGTTGGAGCCCATGGCCAGTGTCCCCTTCCACCTCATTAACGAGAACGGGCAGCAGGCGGGGCTCGAGGTGCGGGCCGAGCTCCCCCCACAGGGAAACTGAGGCACCGTGGCTCCCGGGAAATTGCCAGTGCCCTCCCGGCCACCCACCCACCCCACCCTGCTGTGCTCGGCCCGGGGACGCCTGCCCCGCTCCCCGGTCCTTTCCTGCAGCCCAGCGCTGAGTCAGCCCTGCACATCCCCAAGCAACGGGGCCCGGAAACCCGAGCCCAGGACGCACAGCGCCTCACCGCGCATGCGTGCACCGAGGCTCCGAGGCACGCACGCTCTAGGCCGAGCTGCGGTGCAGCTGGGGTGCAGCCCGTGGGGTGCAGCCCGTGGGGTGCAGCCAGGGCCGGAGGCCTCGGGAGCATCTCAGAGCTCCCGGGCTGCAGCCGGCCCGTCGCCCACCCGTGCACAAGCTCTCAGCGCGTCCAGCTGGGGCATCGAGCAGTCTCCAGGCTGCAGCAGCAGCGGCTGTGACGGTTCCAGAACATTCTCTCACACCTCCCCTCCCCCACCCTCGGCCTCCATGGAGAGCCCGGCGCGCTGTTTCCCGCCAGTGGACACTGACTCACTGGGCCTCGGCCCCCTGCTGCTCTGGGTCTGATGCGGCTTCTCCCCTAACAGTGGACAAGCTGGACAGTTTCCCTGCGGTGCTTCCAGAGGTGCTCGGACGTCTCTTCCCGTCATGGCGCGCGTCTCCGGGAACCCACCAGCGTCCATGTCTGGGCCCGGGTTGGGTCTCCCAGGCTGGATCTGTTATCGCGAGACTGGTACCCTCACTGCGAGATTAGGTGAATTATCGTGAGAGCAGAAGAGTTAGGAGCGATCCTCAGTGGTTGTGTTTCCCGCGAGACTTGCATATTTAGCGTGTGGCCAGACAAGTTATCGCGAGATCACATGACTATAAAATGAGACTCCTGGGAGAGGCGCTGCCATTTTTGCCTGGGGTTCTGGAGGCGCCTGGGTGGTGTATTTGAGGTGTTACGGTGCAGAGGGGCCGGGGCCGTGTAGGGTCGGCCCAGGTTGTGCTCTTCGACCTGCAAAACCATAGTCCAGCCTAAAACCTTCTCTCTCAAGCCATGTCCCTGTTTTTTTGAGGGGCAGGATGGTTAATGTCAACCAAACCCTGGGCCTCTGCCCTGATCGCATCCCAGCCCTGTAGTTTAGTTTAGTTTAGTTTAGTTTTAGTTTTAGTTTTAGTTTTAGTTTTAGTTTTAGTTTTAGTTTAGTTTTAGTTTAGTTTAGTTTTAGTTTAGTTTAGTTTTAGTTTAGTTTTAGTTTTAGTTTAGTTTTAGTTTAGTTTTAGTTTAGTTTTAGTTTTAGTTTTAGGTTTAGTTTTAGGTTTAGTTTTAGGTTTAGTTTTAGGTTTAGGTTTAGTTTTAGGTTTAGTTTTAGGTTTAGTTTTAGTTTTAGGTTTAGTTTTAGGTTTAGTTTTCGTTTAGTTTAGTTTATAGTTTAGGCTTTTGAGCCTGGGCGTTGCATACGCTCAGGTCACCGAATTCACAGACCGTCCTGGAGCTTGGCACTCTCCTGCCTCAGCCTCCCAGAGAGCTGGGCCCCCAGGTGCCCGCCGACACCCGCGCCCCATTCTGGCCCACAGAGAACCTGGGAATCAGGCCCTCAGCTCTCCCTTCCTCTTTCTTCGTGTTCCCCACAGACGCCACCCGGGCGGCGCCCCGAGCAGTGGATCGCGGACATGCAGGACGTGGCCCCCTGGAAGAAGCCCCCGGCGGGGACCAGGAGCTCCCGTCCTGCAGCCCCTGGAGGTCCGCCTGGCCCGGGGGGACTCGGAGCTGCCTGCCGCCCCGTCCACGCAGGAGGAGGACGATGACCAGGAGGCCTCCCCGGGGTCCCCCGAGTCCCCCCCGGGCCCCCCAGGCCGGCGAGCTGGCCTCCCTGGGCTCCTTCACCTTCGTGATCGCGGACGGCGCCTACATGAAGCTCTGAGCGTCGGGCCGGCCTGCGGTCACTGCGGGCTCCTGGCCGGCCCCGGACAGGCGGGAGGTCAGCGTGGGCCAGCCCGGCCGGCTCCCCAACTCGCCGTGGACACAGCACCCCGCGGCTTTACTCCAGGACGGGAGGCGGCCACGTCTCCCTGCGGGCCTGGGACGGGAGACCTTCCTGCCTCAGCCTCCCGCAGAGCTGGGCGACAGCCACCTTGGATTTGTCCTGCACGCTCGGGGCCTCTCCTGGCGGGGGACAGAGGCCCACCTGGGAACCCGGAGATTTCCTTTGCTTTTCCTCTGAGAGCCGCTCTCTGGGCAAGCGGCCAGGCTGCCCTCAACCCGAGACCGTCCTGCCTCAGCCTCCCGCAGAGCTGGGCGACAGCCACCTTGGATTTGTCCTGCACGCTCGGGGCCTCTCCTGGCGGGGGACAGAGGCCCACCTGGGAACCCGGAGATTTCCTTTGCTTTTTCTCTGAGAGCCGCTCTCTGGGCAAGCGGCCAGGCTGCCCTCAACCCGAGACCGTCCTGCCTCAGCCTCCTGCCTGGCCGGGGCCACTGCTGTGTCCCGTCCGACCTGACCGCCCGCCACTTGGCCTCCGCCCCAGCTGTACGGGCGCCGGGCGTGATGTGGGCAGATTCCCAAAGACATCTGTCTGTCCATCCTCAATGTGTGTTTTTTAGCCAGAGCCTCGCCGTGCAGCCCAGCCTGGCCTGGACCGGAGGGCGACCCTCCTGCCTCGGCCTCCTGAGCTCCGGGGTGCCGGGCGGGCACCTCCCCGCCCTCCCCATTTCCGAGAGGGCAGCAGAACCGTGGTGAAGCCCGGGACGCTGCTGCTGAGCCCAGAAGGGCCTCGTGGGGACGCCGTGGTCTCAGGCAGCCATGCCAGGGGGTGACGATCACGGACGTGGGGGGACTCGGGCTGTCTGGGTTTTAGTGCCCTTTGAAATTGGAGGCTCCCGGGGCATCTCTGGATCAGCAGGAGCCTCTGCCGGGTTCTGGGGGGACCAGAGAGACACTGCGGGCGCTGCTGACCACCCTCTAGGGAGAGACAGAAAGCAGGCCAGGGACACCGGGAGGGTGAGAGCCTCGGCCGCCTGGGGCAGCTCAGCCGGGAAGGGCACGGGCACAGGGACGTCCAGGTGGGGACGGAGGGACAGACAGTGCCCGGGGCAGAGGACAGAGAGCGTCCAGCACAGAGGACCAGAGTGTCCACGGCCGAGGACTCAGAGCGTTCAGGGCCCAGGACACAGAATGTGCATGGCCGAGGTCACAGAGCGACCAGGGCTGAACACACAGAGGAGCCTCTGGGAAAGGCCCCGTCCCCACCGGGCATGGTGGTGCCCACCCACGCGTGATTCTGGCACTCTGGAGGCGGAGGCACGAGGATGCCGAGCTGCGGTTCTAACTGGACGACTGATGGACCGGGCTGTAGGGTCAGAGGCAGAGAAAGCGGCTGATCTGGAAAGTGGTCAGTACGGGCCAGGTCACTGAGGGTAGTAAACTGACTTACAGACTCCCCGAAGGGGTCAGCTTGGTTGCTAGGACCAGGTCGACCCCCAGCTCCAAGGGCCGAGTGGACACAGGTTAAGGGGGTCAGCCAGGCGGTCAGGGCCTACCTTGTGGGGGTCTAGATCCCCCCAAGGCCCCGCTTTTCGTGTTTTACAGTCGCTGGGACCCTCCTGCCTCAGCCTCCCCCACTTCAGGCTAAGAAGCGAACCCGAGCAGGTCCAGCACCCTGCGGTCGGGCTGGCCTCCATGTCCAGGGCACCCTCCTGCCTCAGCCTCCCGCGTCCCCCGAAGCAGGAGGCCGGAGGGGACAGCGGGGACCCCTGAGGGCACTGGGGGGCCGCGGGCTGAGCTAGGGCTCCGGGTGCAGTTCCTGGCCGCGCCTGCTGGGGGCAGCCGAGCTCCGCCGCTGGAATCCGAGCTGCCGCGGTTCAGCTTTGGGGTCCAGGAGGGCAGGACACGGGGTCGCCCCGGGGCCCACGCAGGGGTCCTCTGCCCTGCACCCCGCGGGGACCCTCCCGCCTCGGCCTCGCGGCGCGGCGAGGTTGCACAGGCGCACACCGCACACCCAGCCTTTGCTCTTCCTCTTCCTCCGCCGGGTGTCCCCAGCACCTCTGGGCGAGCCTGGGCGCCAGCTGCCCCGCGGGGACCCCTGAGCGCGCCCGCGGTGGCTTCTGACCACAGAGCCGCCCTGGCCAGAAATCGTCCCGAGGAGGACGGGAAGGTTTGCAAAGTGGCTCCGAGACCTCAAATTCCAGTCCATGGTGGGCTGCTCCAAGGCCGGGGCTCCCTGGCGGCCCTGACCTAGTGATGTCCCGGGCAGAGGCGGCACAGCCCTGAGCCCCCAGCTGCACCCCGCCTGCGGGGTCCCCGGAGCTCTCGGGCCCCCACATGCTCAGCGCCGCCTGTTCTGTGGTCGCCTCTGACCAGGCCGGGGCTCCTGGTGCCCCTTGACCAAAGCCGTGGACACTCGGGCAGCTGGCTGAGCCGGGCCGGACGTCCAGGGCGGGCAGGAGGGAGAGGGGGCAGCCGGGCCTGGGCTCGGGCTCCGGAAAGGGGTGCGGGGCGACGGGGCCTCGCGGGACCCCACAGAGCACGGGCAGCTCCGGGTGTGGGGGCACGCGTGTCCAGCAGAGGGCGCGCGGGGAGCGTGGACAGCGCAGGGTCAGCGGAGGGCAGGGCCGGGTCCACTCCTGCTCCCTGGCCGGGCCTGGAGATGCGGCTTCACTGGGGTGGAGGGCAGACAGACAGACAGACAGACACAGAGCGCCCGAGAGCTGCAGGAGGAGCACGGACGCGGGGTCCCGGGAAGAGCGGGGCTCACTGCGCCCCGAGCCCTGGAGCCGAAAGCAGCTTTGGACGCCGGGAAGGAAGCAAAGCAGCCGCCCGGGCTCACGGCTGCCCACGGTGTCCCGTCCCGGCCAGCCTGGCACAGGGGGGCACAGCGTCCCCGTGAATGCCCTGAACGAACTCCTATTCATCCCCTGCAACCCCAGTGTGCATGGCCAGGAGGGAGGAGGAGCCGCCCGTTCAGCCCGTGCTCGGCAGGGCACCAGCGTCCCTGCCCCGTGGTGACCGCGGCCACCGCCTCTCGCTGGCCGGGGCTGGGCCGGGAGCAGCAGACTCAGCGCTCTCCACGGCTGAGTCCCACTTTTAAAGAACCCACGTGGACCTGGGTTCCAGGCAGGACCCTCGGGCCCTGCAGCTCCCGGGCCGGGTTCCAGCCTGGGATCGTCCTGCCTCAGTCTCCAGAGTGTCCAGGCTGCCCCGAGCGTGCTGTGCAGCCCGGGCTGGCCCGGAACTCACAGAGACCCGCCCGCCTCAGCCTCCCGAGAGCCCCACACAGGCAGGCGGACGTCAGGGCCCAGGGCTCTGTTGCTGCAGAGGAGTTCGGAGCCGAGCAGGGGCTGCGGTGGGGTCCACCCCGTCCTCCTGCCCGAGACCAGAACCCTAATATCTAGGGCTGAGCTCCCC